GTTATGTCTTCTTGCTGGGTAGATTCCTTTATCATTATATAGTTGCAATCTTTGTCTCTTTTTATGGTTTTTGATTTAAAGTCTATTTTATTCAATACAAGAATAGCTACTCCTGCTCATTTTTGGTTTCCATTCAAGTTGTATATCTTTTTCCATACCTTCACTCTTAGTCTGTGTGTGTCTTTACAGGTGAGGTCTCTTGAAGACAGCATATCGTTGGGTCTAGCTTTTTAATCTAATAAGTGAGTCTGTGTCTTTTGAGTGGAGAATGTAATCCATTTACATTGAGGGTTGTTATTGAAAGGTCTTACTCCTGAAATTTTATTCATTTTCATTTCAATGTTTTAAATATCTTTTGTTCCTTTCTTCTCCTTTTATTGTTTGTCTTTAATATTTGTTGGGTTTTTTTTGTGGTGTTAAGATTTAGTTTCTTTCTCTTTCTCATTTGCATTTTCCCCAACTATTATTTATTGGATTCTATTTCTTCCTTAGTTCTGATAATATTGTGTGTGCGTGTGTATACCTGTGTATTCCATTGTTAGATTCATATATGTTTACTATATATATATCCTCTTGCTGAATTGATTCATTTATTGTTATTTAGTGACCTTGTCTTTTTTGACTCAGTCTATTTTATTTAAGTATAGCTGCTTCTACTCGCTTTTGGTTTTTGTTTGTGTGTTGTATCTTTTTCCATCCTTGCAATTACAGTCTATGTGTGTCTTTATAGGTGAAGTAAGTTTCTCCTAGGCAGCACATGTAGTTAGTCATGTTTTTTTGAATTCATTCATCCAATTTATATCTATTAATTGGAGAATTTAATCCATTCACATTCAAAGTTATTATTGGTAGGTGAGGATTTACTCTGTCATTTTGTTAATTGCTTAATGGTTATTCTATATATTTTGTCTCTTTCTTCTCTTATTGTTTATCTTTGCAGTTTGGTGGTTTTCTGTAGTGCTTAGGTTTGATTGCTTTCTCTCATTTGTGTATCAGCCTGGGTGTGGGTGCATGCAGTCATAACAGGCTGGCCTGCTGCCCAGGTCTGCCTCTTCTCCAGGGGTTTGGGGTGCCATGTATAATAGAATGCCAGGGTCTTGGTCATTCCATCAGATCTAGGCTCCTGACAGCTGGGATAGTGGTGCTGCAGGCAATGGTGTTAATGTGGTGGAATGACAGCAGGGCTTTAGGGATGAAGAAATTTAGTGGCTCCTGGCCCCCAAAGCACGATACACTCTAATAGTGGTTTTGATTTCAAGATGGTGCCATGTAGTAGCAGCTTAGGACATGGGGGTAGGTGATGCAAGGCAGCTGCTCCTATTCTTAGAGCATGTAGCCTTGCCAACTCTCCAAAATGGTTTTGAGGCCTGTGAGAACTGGAAAGCGCTCCTGTAGCAAGGATTGCTGGCATCTGTAGTGGCAGTGGAGATCCCTGGGTATTGTCCA